ACATGGTCCGATATTTTATAACTGATCTCAGACACAAGCAATTTATACACCCCATTTAGACAAGTGATAGGCCTAAAATCTTTAGGTTCAAGAAGATCCTTAGTAGGTTTATGGATTAAATATGTTATTCCTTTACAGAAGTCATCAGGTGGAATAATAGCATTGGCTATTAGTTTTCTGTAATAAGTGGCCAAAATTGAATGCGTACTAGTAAAGTACTTTAACCAATAATTCTGAATTTTTTCTGGACCAGGGGATTTCCAATTTTTCATTCTTTTAACTGCTTGTTTGACATCTTCACTTAACACTATTCCATCCATCCGATTAATCAAGCTAGTATTTTTCCGAGCCTTGTCCATCCAAGATTCATTAAAATTGTTTAGTTTCGGAGCTTCCCATATCTCGATAAAATAAAGTCATAAGGCCGATATATCCGTCTTTTCTCAAACTTATGTTTATGTCGATCTCTTGATGTTGGATTAAAATATTTATTAGCAATAAAAATAATATTCCAACTTTAAATCTCATAAGGTCGTAAGGCCGATAAATCAGTATTTGGAATGTAGCTATCTGCTCAAATGAGGGGAAGGGAATGGCAAAAAATAAAGAAAATCATATATTTCTTTCAATCTCGATAAAAAGAAGTCATCAGGCCGATATGTAGGTCTTTAAAATATCGGTATCTGCTTGAATTAGGGAAATCAGAGGACCATAAAAAAAAATTAAATTAAGCAAATAAAATGACAAACATTACCAATCTCAATAAATTAAGGGCAAAAGGCTGATATATTGGCATTTGTTCAAATTTATGTTTAGGTATATATGAATCATGATAAAATAATAATGATTGATACTTGCTTGATAATTACTTGATAAATAATGATTGATCATGCCCTTGATGATTGGTTGATACTTTCATTCAGTAACTGCGAGAATGTTCTATGCGACGTTGTATGAAACCAGACGTATAGGAACGAAAAAAAGCCGATATGCTAAAATATAGGTTCATCACTCTTATATCAGTCAAAATTTGTGTATAATGTGATTTTTAGATGACCTCTTCTCTGTCAAAATGGGAAATAAACGAAAAAAGTCCAAAAATATATCAGTTTTTGAAAATTGATCAGGGAGAGAGGGGGGCTCCAAGGTCGAAAACTTGGATTTTACATCTCAGTAATAGCCCATACAAGAAAACAAAAAGAAACTTTCTAACCCCATTCAATGCAACTTACGATATACAGGTTTTTTTTTTTTTTTTCACCTCGCCATTTAGGCTATACGGGATTTCCCCGGGCTGGAGGGTGAGGGCGGGGAATTTAAAATCCCTTCCTGCACTGGGACGCGAACTCGTACTTATTTTTGTCTCTCAAAACTTCATATATCTGGTTGCCGGGCAACTGACGGTGCTGTGCACACGCTTTAGCCCATTCGGCACCCCGCCCTTCTGATATACAGGGTTACTGGCTATAAGAATCAAAATAGTTCCCACCTTCCTGATGAATGAAACATCCCCTAATTTGCGGAAAACCTCCCCTCCCACCCCCCCTCATTTGACACTTTCAATTTTACTCATTTAGCTTTGAATCCATTTATTGGACGAAAATAAAGAATAGGGATGAAAATATTCATCATAAAATGTGTTCTATGAATAATTTGGCTAGTACTTATTGGTTCTGAGTAAACAGTTTTCGAAGTTGAATACAGTTTGAAGTACTTAGTTAAAAATTACTGTAATAAGGCCTTTGAAAGCAAATACTGCAAATTATTTGGTTATTAATAGAATACATTTTATGTAGAATTTTATGAGGAATATTTTCATTTCCATTCATTATTTCCGTCCGATCAATGGATTCAAAGTTAAATAAAGAAAACTGACACAAAATGTCAATTTTTAGTGTGGGAGGAGTGGCTCTTTGCAAATTTGAGGATGTTTCATCCACCAGACAAGTGGGAACTCTTTTGATTCTTATTCCTGACCCTAAAACGAAAATCTCTTGTGAAAGGAAAAACTTTATAAATTATTTCCCCACAAAACCCTAAAGTCATGGGACTAACTGCCTGTCCATTAGGAACAATCCCAAAATACAAAACGCCTTTTGTTAGTTTTACCAAGCACAAAGCATCACTTTTCCCCAAACTGATCTTTACCAACCTACGCTTCACCCTACCACCTTTTGCAACTTCACCATACCCACTGCTTATGTTTGCTTAGGTTTTTTTAACCAACTAAGATTGGCTCTGTCAAGTCATGTCAGTTAGACCTTGGTCTTAAATTCTGTATGTCTAGGTTTTTAAAATGTCGAGCCACTGTAGCATTAGAAACCTCTCCCAGTAGTTGCATATTGGTCCTGGTTCACACATTCTAGAAGAACGTCATCATGAATGACCGATGGGCGACCTGATCTGGTTTCATCTGCAATGCTTATATTTCAATTGTTAAAACACTTGAACCAAAGTGTTCCAATATTTCGATGGACTGTCCTATAGCATAAAATTTCTTTAGTGGCTATCTTTGTGCTTAGACCTTTTTTTCAGTAATGTCTCAAATGGCTGTGAATCATGATTTTTTCTTTTGACAGTGCATGTGCATTTTCAAAATGTAAATGACTCAATGAAGCCAACTGGAGTCTCGAGGAATTAAACAAATAGTCAAATTAAATATTGGCATAAATAAAAAATTCTTTTGGATTAATTAAGAGTTGTAATTAAGGGTTGTGTTCATGCACAAAGACTTTTTTAACTACCTAGTATTTAGTTTAAAATATATTTTATTAGCGTTTATAATGCATGTTTATGAAACAGAGCTGAGAGATGTTTGAGATATTTGGCAGCCATATGTTAGACTACGTTAGACTCGGGGCACTCTCCTAGTCCCCACCACATTCAATGTTATTTTAAGTTTTTAGCCGTTAAATATTAAACTTTTTTTATTATTTTAAAAGTGCAATCTCAGTGTTATATACATTCGTTATCACTTGAATTCTATTGCAGCTCAAATTTACAAGATTTTATTTTATCTTTTTTCATGCAAGTACCAATGGTGGATTAAAAGAAATATTATTCTAAGCAAAACAGAAAAAAAAGAAGTGGCTAATTGTTTTCTAAAACTTACTCTTTTATAATTATTGAGGCTGGGCCTCCTCCAAGAGCCAGTTGACTTGTTCTATTGTAGTTGCCCTCCAGCTCTTGGTGCCAAGAAGGACCCGCACATCCACAGAGGTGAAGTCCACCAATCTTACATTGGGCCAACCTACTCTCCATTTGCCATGAAGCTCATCTTTCAAAATTTTCTTGGATATATTGCCATCTTCCATCTTCGCCATGTGGCCTGCCCATTAAGTCTCCTGACCTTAATAAACTTTTTAAAAATAACAAGTTTGTTTAAAATGTTATTATACAAATCAGAAAGCTCCATATTCTTTTGTCTTCTCCAGGTGTTTCCCTCTCCTAACAGTCCGAAAATTTTTTTCACTATTTTTCTTTCAGATACTTGCAGCCATGTCTCATCTGCTGTTGTAAAGACCCTTATGTAAGAACAGAGTGCACCTAAGTCCTATAGGCTGATTTTTGTGGTGTTGGGGCTGTACCGGCTCTAAAAATGTTTGGCAATACCAATATAGCAATGGTTAGCTGTAATGATTCTCCTGTTGTTCATATGTTCAAAGAGATGTCATTTCGAGCATTCACCTCCGAACCCAGGTATAAGAAACTGTACAGTTTTAAATTTTTTGGGTCCGACTTCAAACAAACTAGTCCCTGCCCCTGCTCCTCCTATTCTCAAATACTTCCTCTTGGCTTTATTGATAGCCATTCCGAGTTTTCTTCTTCATGGTCAAAGAGCGCTTCTCAGATGGCACGCTCCCATCTTGCAGCTATGTCAAAGACATTTGCATACCCCACCAGCTGAAGGAAACTATTTAACAGTGTGGCCCATGTCTGGATCCCTGATCGATGCACTGCTCGCTCCTCTGCAAAATTAAAAAGGAGTTATGCCAGGGCATCTCTTTTTCTCACAATATAGTTGGTTATTATGGGTCCAGATAGATCAGCTCCAATGCGAACCATAATATTCAACCCATCATTCATCCTTATAAGGCAGACCAACTTTTTTCAGATGTTCATTTCTTTTAATAGTGGAGTCCAAATTGGACTACTCTATCGTATGCTAATTTAGAGTACAGGAAAAAGTGATGATTACAATAAATGATTATTCTCGAGCAGGAAATCTGATCTCTTTTCTGTATCACTATTCCAGCCAGTGGATTTTTTGGATTGCTGCATGTCAGTTTGATATTTATCTATTTATGGAAAGGGGCTCGAAGAGTTCCTAGTCTATACAAAGATGAAGTGTTGCAATAAGCTAGTCGTTATTGCAGTTTCTTGGTCTTTTTCTGAAAATAAGTTGGGCTTTGCTTTGTCGAGGTTTTGTGATAATGTAGTTTAGCGCCCTGGCTCACTTCCCTATCCGGGGTTGTTACCCAGAAGAGGTGACCCTGGTTTGTGGACTGTTTGTGACTTTTGTCTATAATGAGCGTTATTATAGTTAACTGTGAGCTAAGTACTTTGTGTGTGTCAGTATAAGTGTTCCCCAACCTGGAAGACCTGTGTAAAATCAATAAATAATGTTGAAGGTATCATTGAGTATAGAACTTATTGCAGGAGATGCTAGTAGGGGACGACTGCGATGAGCAAAAAAACATTTTAAAATTCGTTTAGCTTATTTTAATGTGTGCTGAAAGTTCTTGGCCTTTATCTGAGCGACAAGTGCACAAGTTCATTTGTTGCACAAAAATTTAGACTAAAACATTGGTACCTAATAAAATAAGTTAGCTTATTAATGTTTTTTTATTTTTTTCATTAGTGGCTGGATTCGCCAACCAATTTCTCTTGCAAAAAAATAGATACCTGCAAGGATAGAAAATAAATAGTAGCAAGATTATTTCTTTTTATTCCGAAATTATTAATGTATATTAATGTAATTATTTTTTCCTTAATTACAGAAAGATCCTAACCTAGGACGCCGCAGTAATAAAATGTTACAAAGAAAGAGTTTGATTGCAAATACTTCTCCAACTATGCCCAGATGTCAGTCTCCTCTTTCGGGTTTGTGATTAATTTTATTTAAGTTGAATTATGGTAATAAAATAATAAATTTGAATATTAGTTAAGTCAGTAGTTAATAAATGTTAATAATAAGATTAACCCATAGTTTCTTCACTTCAAATTATTTTCAAATTAAATGTCATCTTATATTCTCTGTCACACTGTATAATCGAGCCAATGCAATATTTTATTTGAATATCAGATGTTTAATTAACATCAAACTAGTAAATTTAGCAATTGTTAAAATGAGCATATTGTTTATTACATATTTGTGTCTATATGGTTTCTTGCATCTATTATGTTATACTATTTGAGGTAGGATAGAAATTATTTTATTTTATCTGATTCTTATTAATTTTCTTTTTAGTTTCCAATAGCTATTTCAAATTTTGTCAAGTACTCTTGGTCAGTTAATTATTATTTCATGGTATAAACAATTTAAATTATGGTAATCATATTAGTAATAATATTTTAAATGGTTTTCAAGATTATTTTATTGATACAACATTATTTTTGTTTGTTTTAGCTGGGAGTCCTTTAGATAGTCCCCGAATGTCACCAAATCAGCATTTTCCATTCGTTGCTCTAAAAAGGTATTAATTACTCATATTTTAATTTAAATCAATTTTAGCTTTATGTAATTGAAAAATACAAATTATTTTTATCTATAAATATTTGCCTTCCTTTTTACTATAATCCCTTAACATTTGTGAGAATTTTTTTCCAGTGAAATCAATATTTCCAATAGCTGAGTTTATTTTTCTTTGTAAATAGACAAAAGCAAAAGCTCAGATTTGTTTTAAATTTATTTTTTTTTGTATTTTTATTACAGTTAATTATTTTAATTAAAACAGCCCCAGCTCTCTCTTGAATAATGTGTAATCAAATTTTCCATTATGTTACCAAATTATTCTTGAAGCATTTCAATATTTATAATTTTGTAAAACTCTCTCATATTGTTATGTGTATATCCCATTGAATTAGATTCTTTTTTAATATATGAAAAGTCAAATAAGTAATTTGCAAATATGGAATACTTCAGCATTTTCGCATTTGTACATTATCTGAACTCATGGATGCCATACTCATGAATATTGAGGGATTACTAAACTTCATTTTAAGGATGCTATTTTTGTCCTAACTTTATTTAAATATAAAACTGAAATTATATATATATATCTGCGCTATATATATATATATATATATATATGTAGTGCAGATACCGCATGCACAATTAAAAGGATTTCATGCATTAGTAACATATACATACATATTAATATTTTATTTTATTTGTGTGTAAAAGGTGATTTTTATTTTTTGATCTAAATTTTTTTATCACAATTTAATATTATTATTTATGTAAAACCTTATCACTCACTGAGTAATAATTTTTTTTAATCAAATAAATTAAAATCAAAGATTAGTTTAAATTTTTATTTATAAATCAGGCATGATTTTTACTTTCACTTATCTATATATGAAATATACAGTAAATGAAGAAAGTATTGTGATGTGAAAATTTTTGAATCTCAGTTTTCAACGAAATACACTTATATACCTGGGATGCTACTATAACTTTTTCGTAAAAATCGGCTTACCGGAACTTTATATCTAATCGACTAACCAGCACTTTTTGTCATCGATTTAACACATTTTTACTATTTTCTCAAAGACAGCTTTAACGATTTTAATTAAACTCTGTGTATCAATGTATAATTAAGTAATATTTAATATCATTTAGGTTTTATCCCTATTGATGTTGCTTAACAGGGCTTAAGTGCTCAATATCTTCCTCTAAAGCACCTTTAATTTGGTTTATATTAAATAATTAACTATACTAGTGTTCGCCCAGTGGTCGAAATTTGACCATAGCCATTAAAAATTTGAGGAAAAGATATAGTTAAATAAAAAATAAATAAAGAGTAAATCACGATTCAAAAATCCTCATTTATTAATACAAACAAAATTTCAATTTCAATTAAAAATCGAGCTTAAGTCATTTAAAATTATTTATAAGTAATAAAAAATAGACTCATTCAAAAATATTTAATTGTCATTTTAATTTATGTGTGTTATTATCACAATAAATTAATGTTATGATTAAGCAAGTAAAAAATAAATTTAAATTAGCAATTTACATTCGCTTCAAATTCATTTTTATTCAGAACTTCTATGTAAAGAATAAATCTTACATATTAGTTCTCTAGTAAAGTTCTATAAAGTATGTGTATATATCTATAAATCCACTTTATAAAATTACTACTTTTCTAGTTTGTTATAATTAGCAAGATTAAGAGTTAAACTCGAATTACACACTTTTGTTTAATTTATGGTTTACATATGTTCCTTATCATTCTCTTTCATAAATTTTTTCCTGTTTTAAAATATATCTGGCATAATTGTTAATTTATTTTGATAGACCGTTTAATCACATCAGTAACGATGTAAGAGGTGATGGTAGAAGATGGTCAGTTGCATCACTTCCGTCTTCTGGCTATGGGACCACTCCAGGCAGTTCAAATGTTTCAGTATGTATATAATTAAAAAAATTCATTCTAAAAATATATAAAAAATGTTTAATATTTGTACATCAAGCTAAATTTATTTTTGTTTAATGATGCATACTCAATATATGAAAAAATTATTTTTATCAATTAACAAAATTAATTATTGATAATTGATAGACCAACTTAAACTTAGAGTTAAAATCTATTCAATATGAATTGATATGGTTGTTTATTTATTAAGTATTAATTTAAGTTAAATAAGTCTGTTAAGCATATCAAATCATTTGTTAAATTCTTATCTTTTCAGTCTGTTACGGAATACCAGGTGAGTTAATAATTTAGATTGAATATAATATGATTCATTGGTTGCAGAAATATAATTTAATTTTGATGTTATGGTTAAAGGTATATTGATTAAAGTGTGGAATTGTAATCAAGTTTTTGTAAAGGTTAGTTTGAATTTACAAAGGCTTTTAATGACAACTTAAAACACCTTTCAGTAAGAAAGTACCATAACTATAAAATATGTATATCCAATAAAAACAATGTACATGAAACAGATGCTATATTCTGTCAAACTTAGGGAAACTGTTGAAACTGCTCACTCTTCAGCTTGAAGCTCCTAAATTCTTTATCCTTTACTATTACCTACTTCCCCTCAAGGAATAAACCTAATATAAAAATAATGATTAGTAAACTTTTAATGTTCTCCTAGAAATACAAACTATGCTTTTGAATTTCTCGTTATGGTAAGGGAATCGTATTACGTTATAAATAGTATGTTTTGAGCATTAATCTTTTGGTAACTTATTTTACCACGATTAATGCTTTACCTTTTAGAGGAGGCCCAGACTCAGTGATGGGTCATGAGCTATAATGATAATGACGTAGGGAAGTGGCGATAACATTGTCCAGCCGAGAGGCTGCAGTCAGCCTTTGGTCCTCCAGGTCGGGGAAACACTTATACTGAAACTTACACAGTGCTCTGTATATACCACACTTCACACACCTCCACCCTACAGACTAAGGCCAGTAACAAAATACACCTTTCCTAGGTGGCTGTCCCAGAGAGGTTGCAAGTATGTAAGCACTGAGGTGGCTATTCCACCAGGGTGGGTAATTATTCCTTTACCTGAAATGAAACAGTTATGAAATCCTGTTTAAACATAAACAACACAAATTATCTTGGATATGGACTGTCATTAATGGATAAGACATGGAAAACATTATAGATAAATATTCCTAGAACAAATACCCTGCAGTGCATTATGGCTGCAGCAACAATCACCACACCTTTGGTATAGGATTGTTGGGAGACAGCTCAGATGACTTTTGATTTCTTTTGAATCCATCAGTCCCTATGATCAAAATTTGAGGAAAATTCGGTAGTCTTAGCATATTCATTGTTCATATAGTATTTTCCGACAAGGGGGAAATGAAAGTAAAAATTATAGACGCTATATTTGTTTAAATTTCATTGTGGGTATTTTTGTTTATTTAATCACCCTTAGAATAGAATAGAATATATATTTATTTGTTTTGGGGACTGACCCAATACAAATACAAATGGAGTGGATACACACATTTTTATTATTACAATATAATATTAATAAATTAATTTCCACTACTAAAATCAAAGTACAAATGGAGTGGTACGCACATTGTAATTATTATAATATAAAATTAGGAAATAAATTAATAGCTCTTGAATCAAAATATTCTTTTTATACTATATATATATATTTTATCTACACAAAACACATTAATGAGAAAGGAATACTACCCATCAAATAATATAACACAATATAGTATAACATAATATACTTTAACACAATATAATACAGTACAATTTAATATAATATATCATAACATAAAACAACCTAATAATATAACTCTATAACCACAATACCACACCAAGCCACACAATGGGACATTAGATCTGATTATAATACCAACCCCACTTTATGATGCCACAGGGTACTTCAATTACAGGATATCACTACTACAACGCAAATCGAAATACTCTACAAACAAACAATATATAAGAGAAAAAATATTGATAAACTATAATTATCTATACATTTTGGATAAATGCTCTTAAATTGAGGCTATAAACAGTACAGTAATATAAACTGGATATCTACTCTCTAGTTATTGTTTTTATAAATGATGTAAACATGGCAGGGGTCATTAAATTTAATGTGGGTAATAGTTCTAGCCTATAGGAATTATAAATGGGACAGGTTATGAAAAAATGATATAAATCTTCCCTTTCATTCAAATTACACGAGTATAAACTTTCTGTTTTGAATGTTGCGGTAAGTTTTTTATGACTCAACTTAATAAACGTTATGTTCAAAGTTCTTATCTGTGTTATAAGTTTTCTTCTTCTTAATCCAGTCCTCTTTGTTACCGCTGAGCAGTTTGAGGTTCCTTCTTATAGAGCTTGATGCAAGAATCTCTATCCTGGGCCAGCTGTCTTCTCCTACTCCAGTCCATTCCTCTCCTGCCAAAGGCTTCTTTAATTCCTTCTTTCCATCTTTTTCTTGGTCCTCCCTGTGGCCGCCTTCCCCCCACTTTGACCTTGTAAGTAGCCCTGGCAACTCTGTTTTCAGCCATTTGCGAGACATGTCCAAACCAGCTAAGTTGGTTTTCTTGGATTATTTCCTCTGTAGGCCTCAGGTCCAGATTAGCTCTTATGTTCACATTCCTAACGCGATCTCTTCTTGTTTTCCCCTCTATTTTCCTTAAATATCGCATTTCTATAGCTTGGATTTGGCTTTTGTTCTTGGAAGTGAGGGTCCAAGACTCGCTTGCATATGTTAATATAGGGAGGAAGGTATTCTTGAAGACATTCTTCTTAGTGGCCTTTGAGACTTCCTTCTTCTCCAAGAAGCCTGACTTGAGGGAGTAGAAGCATTTTCCTGCCGTCTTAATTCTTTCTTTTATGTCTCCATCAACCCATCTTTACTCGTTGAGGTGAGCAGGACCAGTTATTTAAAATCCATAACTTGCTCCAGACGGATTCCACCCAGCCGAACGATCCGGTCACTTCTCCCAATCCTCATAAATTTTGTTTTGGAGATGTTAATTTCCATGTTTATATTCCTCAACTCAGCTTGAAGGATCTTGAGGTTAAACTGCAGATTACGGCAGTCATTTCCGAACACCACCATATCGTCAGCAAAAGCAAGCACTGTATACTGAACGCACTGTAGGTTCTTATATCTAGGTGGTATGGCCTCATTTTCTGTTTTGTTTGTTTTAGAGCAAAGTCCAGCACTAGTTTAAACAAGAAGGGGCTATGGCTGCATCCCTGTTTGATTGCTTGATCTGTTGAGAATTATTTTAATGTATGGTTGCACATTTTAACAACATTTTTTTGCGTTTCATATAGACTTAGGATGGCTTTTCTCAATCCTGAATGAAAGCCACACTACTCCGATGCTCTTGATATGTCTGCCTTCTGCACCCTGTCAAACGCTTTATATAGGTCTACAAAACAAGACCTCTCTGCTCTTCTCAAATATCTTCTCGGATATTTGTCTGTGAATATATATTGTCATCGTGAATATCAGATCCTGTATACTCCTGTTAGGCCGGAAGCCATATTGTTCTTCCCCTATCTTTTGTTCTATGAGGCTTCTCAGCCACTTTTTGAGCACCTTGTGGAGGATTGCCGAGTAGGGATATGCCTCAATGGTTCCGACATTCACGATTATCTCCTTTTTTGAAAATTGGGATTATTATAGAAACTTTCCAGTCCTTTGGGGTAACTTTCTTTTTCCAAACGATGTTAAGGAGGTGCTGGAACAGTTTGATTCCTTTTAAACCCATATATTTCAACATTTCTGGCGCAATGCCGTCTGTACCAGTCACTTTTCCCAGCTTTAATGAGGTTATAGCCTCGGCCACTTCTTCTTCTTCTATGAAGTCATCTTCCTTCCAGGTGTTTTCTGTGCTGTAAGACTTTTGTTTCGCTTCCATTTGTTGCCCGTTATATGCCTGCAATTCCTTAAAATATTCCACCCACCTATTCATAATATTTTCTGGCCTACTCAGGATGTCTCCATTTATGTCCTTGATGTGCTTCAATACTGGTTCTTTCTGCTTCCTCATGCTCCTGAGGCATCGGTAGAAAAATTTTTGGTTTTCCTTATAATTACTTTCCAACTTTTTTCCAAACTTTTTCCAGTCTGCGTTATAAGTTTTATAAATCTAAATGGGGCTGGAGATGTAAGGATGGCTTGAGTTTCTAAATCTCGATCAACAACTAATCTGTAATTTGGGCTGTAGGTAGAAGATTCCATGTTTTGGATATCTCTGTGCCTTAACTTGTATTTAACCTGTTCCATTACAACCCTTATCTGCCCAGTTATCGATCCATCGCACGAGTTACAAGAGACAGTGTCATTAATATCATGCCTCCTGAGAAAGTGTCTCACCTGTGATATCCAATTATATTTCAATTCATTGGGATATTTCCCTGCCATCTCAATTAGCCCAAGTAAGCATTTCTTTGGATATCTCGTTCCTTCCATATTCCAAACTCTGTCCAACCATCTTTCAAAATCACTCATATATATACAAATTTTAATTTTTATATCGCTATAATCTATACAATTAAATATTAAATAATACCAACAGCAGCATTTTGGCATCCCTTCATCTTATCGAAATATCATACAATGTTATTATTCCTACCATTGTTCCCAAACAAATTTCCTGGAGAGATCTCAACTCCCTAACCATTGAAAACATCAGACCTTAGCTCGATTCCTTATCAGTTTCCTTAGAACCCATCTACTCCCTTTCTTCCATCGATGACATGGTGGAACACCTTTCCTCTAACCGTCTTGATTTCCTTAACCAACACGCTCCTCTTAAAACCCGTACTTTTAGACGTCCTCTTGCTCCATGGATAAATTCAGAAATCAGAGAGATGATGAGAGGAAGAGAGGCTGCCAGAAGACGATACAGACGTGCAGGACCACCCCAACACTATACTATATTCAAATCCC